CATCAACTTCCATGGAAAATAGCTAAAGTGTCGTACTCTCCTTAGGCAAAAGTTCACTCAAATCCGGACATCTGTTGAATTTGTAGAGAGTTTTAGCTTGAAGATTCAGGGGCAAAATGTCACCGTTTGCAGTCGCATCAAAATTCTTAACTTCGAATTGGGCTCAAAAGGGGAAGTTGAATTTCCAAAATCAGTAGGCGTTGATTTTTCTTGAACGCTCAAGCAAACCACTTCTGAAGATGCAAGCCACTCGTGCTTGCGAAACGTCAAGAAGAAATTCTACCGAACGACGGCCTAAAAGGTTTCAGGTCTAGTTAACTCCTTACGAGAGCAAAATTCCGTATCAAAATGCTAAGCACAATTTTTAATCTTTCAAAATCAATGTACAGTCACTCGAAGATTTAGCACTGCACCTTCCTTCAGCATGGCCCTAAGTGAGGACCTGGTAACGACTAGACCTTGCAATCGATGTTTCACATTGGCGAAATCCTTGTCCAGTACCTTGGACACTCCACAGAAAGCCGACAGGGACACAGAATCGTCCTTGGAGCTCAATTCTAGAGTGCATCTGTGGGACTCTTCCGAGTTGGTGAACAGCCAGAAGAAGCAGCAGGAAGACATCGGTTTGCTTTCATCTGACCCGCTGGCCATTAGCCAGAAGGTGCTGATGGGGATTTTCTGGCAGAATTTGTTGCAAGTCCTCACTATGCTTTCGGATCCGCCCACTTTGAGGTAGTCAATGCGATTGACTTCGTAGACTGTTATCATGGATAAGCAGAAGTGGAAGTTGTATTCGATCAGGGATATGTCGCATGGTAGGAGGAGTTCCTTCCCCCGTTCCACTGTCCAATTGGACACGTCGTTGTGCTCGGACTTGAAATGGTTGACAAACTGGGCCACAGCCACTGTTTTATGGCATGGTTTGTGCGGACATCTGAAGGGCCTTTTGGAGGCCGAAGGCGGTAGACTGAGTACAGACTTGGGCGGGTTTGGCCGGTTTTTCCTAGCTAAAGTTGGATTGGATCTGCAACCCACCTGGGATCCATAGAATTTTTCCTTGCTCATTCCTATGAGGGCTTCAAACAGTTTGTCCTCATCATGCGAAGTGATTTGCGATGTTGAGGGCGTAAAAAAATCTTGGTAGTTTTTTGAGTAATTGTATTTGGTGACGGGCAGCGTGTTCACGTTGTAGCGATAAGGCCTGCCAATTCCCGGCCTTAAATTCGCTTTACTTCGGCAATCTGGCATTGCTCTGGAGTCCTCAAGGTCTCCAGCGCTTCTGCATAGTGGACATGATAAATTTGCGCCATTACCTAAGAGAGTACATGCAAAATTGGCCCGTTGTGCCAGGAAGAGGTTCCACTTTGCCTACCTCTGGGTCCAGGTTTCAACCTCTGGAAGCAAACCTGGCAACAAATGTGCTTTTGGATGCAACAGAAAACGGGAAAGCGATCCGGGATCCGATTGCACACTACGCAAACTTCTCGATTTCTCCAGCTGGACGCACTATCCATCACAATTTGTTTCTGCGCACCCCGGTTCTCTTTATATGCATGTTTTATGAAACTACCAAAATTTTGGCATAAACCAATGGGCGGAATGGGGTGTTATGAATTTTGAATTTTTTTAGTTGCTCGACATTTAAATAGCGCATGTCATAATTGACTTTGGCTCTGGATTGGTTAGAAAGTCACCAGCATACCGATAGGGTCGAAAAGTGAATACAACTTTGAATGGACGAAAACCACTCAAGACTTTCGCTTCTTCTCTTTTTCAACTGCAAGCTTGCTCCTCAAGTTTTCTTCCCTGCATGTCATTTTCTTCGTCATTCCTTCTTCAGCTTGTTGTGGTTCAGCCTTCAGGTTCTCATTGTTCTCTTTTGGGGCTCTAAAAACGTTTTCCATTCTTCTAGTGCTTTGAATGCACCTTTTTCACTTTCACAAACTTCTCCCACTACAAAAAATTGAGGACTTTTTTATATTTTTTCAAGTCAAATTCAATGTGTCTTCATTCTCATCCGCTTCCTTGAATGTTATTTTCTTTGCCATTCATTCCTTTCCCAACATTTTGTGGTTGAGCTTCGATTGCATCATTGTTATCTTTTTTTTTAGGTTTAGTGGTCTTGATTCTCGTTTTTGTGGGCTGCATTTTATCTTGCATACCGCGCTCAGAATCTTTGGTAAACTTCCCCCAATACAAAACTGAAGTATTTCTTTAATCATCTTTGACTTGAAGCTCTTTATCTTCATTCTCTTCTATTAAAGTCATTTATTTTGCTAATTCTTCCTCAACTTTCAGATTTTTATTGTTACCTTATTTTAATAATGTTTCCCATTTTCCATTGATCTAAATGCCTGCCTTTGGGGATTGCTTTCCATCTTTGAGTATCTTCGATAGTTTCCATTCAGCATCAGTTGCATCGCTGCAACTCTTCAGTGAACTTCTCTCAATCCTCCACTTTAGTTTTGTTAATTTTCCAATTTATTTTATTTTGGGTTTTTCTGTAGTTATGCAGGTTTTTCCGTTGGAATGGCTTAGTAATCGATCGGTTCAACTGGGTGAAAATGCACAGATTTCTTTAAACAGTCATTTATTTAATGAATAATCCCAAAAAAAACACAATTTCTCATACATTGTAACCAGCAAGGACGTTTTCTTCGGATTTCGATATGTTTTGGAGTCAATTTCGATCGGAACATTAAAGCTTCGCAAGAACAATTTCATATTTTGTAAG